AAAAAAAAAAAAAGACTGAGGCTGCCAAAGGTATGCCAGAGGAAAAATCAGGGTGTGAGATGCAGAGTATCTCCACACGAACACAACACATTAATGAGAAAAGGGAGTAATGTCCACGAGAAGTACCTGTCTCTCCCCAGAGACTGTCAAAACTGTTGATCTGTGCTCGCTCTACTTCTTCTTCATCTTTTTCTGGAAGATCAAGTAGGTAGGAGACAATCTGGAACGAGAAGGTGTGTCAGTTCAAACTTCAGGTGGGAAACTATGCTACCAGCTCTGGCCTGTGAGGTTTGAAAGATGCCTGGATGACCCAAGTGTGACGCAATCGCTTGCACACAGAAGAAACCAGAACTGACTATCCCAGCAAAGAAACCCAAAGTGGCCATGATGAACATGTTTTATCAGGTACAGTTTATACGTTTCTCTTGAACACAACTCACTTACACAGCATGTGATTTTTAAAAAATTATTTATTCCTCATCTTTAAGTTAAAGAAGCAAACCCTCATCCTCCCAGTAAAAATACCAATAAAGAGAAAAAACCCAATCAATCAATAAAAACCAGAAAACAAATATGGAGAAAACGTAGGGGCTCTTATTTCATCAGAGTAGAGCAATGATCTTCTTTTTTCTGCTTGGAAGTATAAGGACTGCTTTGGGGATAATAAAGGGAGAATGACTATTAATATTAAAAAGGAAAGTAACAGCTCGGTTTCCAGGAATTTGCCTGTAGAGAGAGTTTAAAAACCTACAGATATTAAAAATTCCAGTTTTACTTAATATTCCCTTGGTGACATACGAGGTCAGTTGGCAGGGGAGCTGTGTCACCGAAGCTTCCCATGCAGTGGTGAGCCAATGCGTTCTGGCCCCTGAAAGCGGAGCATTACATTTTCAGGAATTTTGTAAGCCGGTTATTAGATGAAGATGTTTATTAAAAATTAAATAACAAATTATATTAAAAACAAAGGTTAAAAAATAAAATCTCATGACTTCTTAATTATTTAACTACACTCTATCTATGCTCTTGAGGTTATTCATATGTATTGTGTTGTATGGTGGAAACAGCCCAACACGGTATGTGCTCCTATGCATCTCTTCATGACATCACAATGGCAGCTCCGTATCAGCTGTGGTGAGAGCATTTACACCTTGGAAATTGGCAAACATTATAAATCAAGATTTGATTCAGTGCTAACGCTCCAAGGGGCTCCAGTTTAATGATTTGTACGAAGGTGAGAAGTAGTTTAACACAGATCACGTATCAGATTTAATGACAAGAAAATTATTGGGAAAAGAACAAAAAAGATCATCTATAAATGATCAAAGAGTTGCAACCACAGGTTGGCTTCAGATATAAATTTCACAAAAGTCAAGAATTCCCTTAAGAGTACTGTATATTTCATTATCTGTAAACTGTATGCTACATGTTCTTCATATCAGTAAAATTTATACTAATTTTTTTAAAAGAATTTTTAACTTATTTATTTGACACAGAGAGAGAGAATACAAGGAGGGGGAATGGCAGGCAGAGGGAGAAGCAGGTTCCCCACTGAGCAAGGAGACCAATGCGGGGCTCGATCCCAGGACCCTGAGCTGAAGGCAGCTGCTTAACTGACTGAGCCACCCAGGCACCCCAAATTTATACTAATTTTAAGTATGTATGTATGTACACACACACACACACACACACACACACACACACACACACACACACACACAC